TAGACTTGAAGGGTCCCAGGTTCGATTCCAGTCAAGGGCACATGCCCAGGTTACGGGCTTGATGTAGGGGGTGTGAAGGAGGCAGCAAATCAATCAATGGTTCTCTCTCATCATTGTTGTTTCTGTCTCTCCCTCTCCCTTCCTCCCTAACATAAATAAAAAAATATATATATTTTAAAAATACACAAAATCCAATGTCGAGAGATAATTGTTTTAAATTTAATAATTCTTCATTTTAGACATTAAAACATATTAGAAATTTCAGACCATATTACTTCCGGGGGCTCTTCCGACTTGTTGCATTGATGTGCATGCCTAAATGTGTCAGAACCTCATTTGTGAGTCTGAATGCTTTGTGAGCTATAGGTCTGGTCAGGAAGATGTGCTCAATCTCTCTTCTTATTCTGGTTTGACTTGCTTTAATTTCAGCCTTTCAAGTAGGTTCTCTCCTTGGATTCATCTGAATGGGAGGTAAAATCCTCTCGAGACACTCCATGCACAATGTTGCCCCAACACAAGGTAAATACCTATTTCCCCCTGAAACATGCCAGTCACTATCTTTTCACTAGGCCAGCGCTCAGTGGAAGAGAGGGGAGACAGTGAAAGGAAGAGAGGCTCCCGAGAGACTTGTGAAGGAGAAAAGCCCTGAGCTCCAGAAAAAGCTCCCTGCACCCCTAGGGTAACCCCCATTTGCAGAGAGGGTACAGCAGCATGGTAAAACCTAACTAGTCCTCAGGAAGAGCTCCTCCTGCTGCAGCACAGGCAGCCTCAGGGCTCACGAAGCTGAGTTAGTAGCATCTTGTGAAATAGATCATTAGTCACCAAAGCCTTATATAGGTGAGAGGGGAAACCAGGTTACTGCTGTCTCTCCTGGGAGAGTTTTTTTTCACAGTTCAGATGAGTCCAATTTGGATCTGCCTTTGGGACTTCAGAACTGCTAAAAAGGAGAAGAGAGTAAAACCCAGTCTTCAGAATTACTCTAATTTCTCACTGCCTCCCAGTGAACAAAGACTCCAGGAGTCGGGAATCACAGACAAACCCTGCAAATCTATAACCTCAGAAGAATAGTCCCCGGCCTATGCACCACTGACAGTGGTCAGCAGTGTTCTCTCACCAGTGAGACCACAGCATTCTCCCAGTGTACATAGTTTACCCAAAGGCCTAGAAATTCTAAATTAGGTGATATGATTTTGTTACAGCTAATGGCTGGACTAGCTGAACTTACTTAATTTGTTTTTCTGTTTTATAGTATCCCCAATAAAACTCTCTAATAGCCAGCATATATCAGAGAGACATGTAGGTGATCCCAGTTCATGCAGCTCATCAAACACTTGCCTCTCTACGATTGTTCCTCCCATCCTCTGTGCCTCGGATGTCTTTCCTTGCCTCATGAAATATGCCTCACCCTTCAAGGCTCAGTTCGGGCATCTCCTTCTCTATGAAGCCTTTCCTGTCCCCCCCCCCCCCCCCCCCCATCATCATCCGTCATCCCTTTCCTACTGCATTCTCAAACACACACATTGGCATCTCTCCCTCCTGGGAATTAGAGGCATGGAAACTTTGAGAATGTTTTGCAGTGGACACTTAACACAAGTTTGAGTTTAATCAAATTCCAAAGATTGTTTAGGTTAATGATTTCTTTCCTTAAAACAATAGGGAGCCGAGACCGGTTTGGCTCAGTGAATAGAGCGTCGGCTTGGTGAAGGGTCCCGGGTTTGATTCCGGTCAAGGGCATGTACCTTGGTTGCGGGCATATCCCCAGTAGGGGGTTTGCAAGAGGCAGCTGATCGATGACTCTCTCTCATCGACGTTTCTAACTATCTCTCTCCCTTCCTCTCTGTACAAAATCAATAAAATATATATAAAAAAAAAAAACAATAGGGAGAGGCTGTATAGTAAAAGGGTACACACTTTTAGTTGTAAGATGACTAAGGTCTATGGATCTAATGTATAACATAGTGACTATAGTTGATAAGACTACATTGTATAATTGAAATTGAAAGCTCTACTCTCTCAAGAAGAACTTAAATGTTTTCACCCCTCAAAAATAGAAGGAAATTCGTGAGATGATGGATGCATTAATTAACTTGATGGGGGAAGAGTCCTTTCACAATGTATATCAAATCATCACATTGCATGCTTTAAATATCTTACAACTTTATATGTCAATTATGCTTCAATACATTTGGAGAATAAAGAAGACAATACAGAACTTTATTCATATTAATTAACATTTTTTAATGAGCTAGAAAAAGGCAAACAGGAAAAGGTAATGCTATTGCCCCTAAATTTTAAATTTTGTTTTAATAAAAATTCACTATCTAAACATATAGACTGAGAAACCTGGAGCACTACTACCCTTTGGCAAAGACCGAATGCTTCTTTGTATTCATTTTTTTATGATACATCATACAAAAGTGCATGTACACTGTATGTACATGTTCAGCCTTCAAAGCCTTTATAGTATTTGATATGTACAATTTTTAAGTGAATAATAAATATTATCAAGGAAAATATCCTTGAGACTTTATAGTCTTGCCTCAGTTGTGAAGCTACTGTCGAGAAGTGGGTGAGACTAATACTGGATTTTTAGTTAGGTATAAAAGGTTAAGTAACAGCCAAGTAAAAATGAACCAGCTATGACATTATTTGTATGCTTTACTTTAAACCACATTATTTTAAAACCTAATTTACACAAATAATTATAAAAGCAATACCTGCTCAGTGTAGAAATATTGAGAACCTAACCCATTTCTTCCTGCTCTTTAGGAAGAATAGTCACTGGGAAATCACACAATCCATCAGGAGATACTGGAGGACAGCAGAGGGCATGGGTGTGCAGATCAGAAGTGAGTGATACACCCCAGGTGACTGACACTGGCCTGATTGTGCATGGCACACTGCATGGGGCAACGGGTGTGCACCTGAGTTAATTTTATCTTGCAAAGACAGTTTCAGAGCTTTATTCTCCCAATCTCCCTTGTAAAAGCAATGACCTTACAATAGAGTCCATCTGATTTTTAACAACTTAGCTTTTTAACAACATATTTTATCAATGATTCTCCAACAAATCTGAATTAAGTGGTCTTATCTTTGTTTTATTTCTTATTCTATCATCCATAGTATCATTTCCATTATCATTTAGTTAGTCTTGCATTAATTTTAGACTTCTTACCTACCTACCTATGAAAATCTAGATCAGAATTCTTTAGTGACTCTTAAAGTTCAAACATCCTAGCACAGTGGTCAGCAAACTCATTAGCAGATCGGTAAACCTTGGCACGAGCCTCAGTTTGCCGACCTCTATCTTAACACAATAGACCTCTGCCTCCACGATCTGTCCTCTATTCAGTTCTGCAAACTTGTCTTCAGTCTTCTCATACACACTAGGCTCCTGCCACAAAGAACGTTCTGTGGATCCCTGTCCTTTCTAGCCTCTGGGCTTTAAGAGTGTAGTTCCTCAGCGGACATCCTTCCCCAACCCTGAACTTGCTGTCAAACTTCTTGTGTCCTTCAAGATTCTGTGCAGGTATCACCCTTCCCTGTCTTTTTTGACATGTCTCAGTAAAACCCTTGCTTTTCTCTGCTGCTATCGTATCTTATTCACAATTCTATTTTAGTATTTATGATAAATGATTAATTTAACAATCTACTCATACAAGACAGAGGTCCATATTGCCTCAGGGTTCCTGAATTATAGGCAAAATTATATGTAGGTTTATTTTCTTCTAGGGAGAAGGTTCAGAGCTTGCATCATACTCTCAGAGGAGTCCATATGCATTCTCTCAACATCAAGAACCCTGCACCAGGGTTGAATCCCTAGGAAAAATAGAGTGAGTTCTGTCCTTCTTTCAGTCTCTAGAGTTGGATGCCCAAAGTTAGCTAAATGAACAATTCAGTTATTATTTTAAAAATAGGTGTTTATACTGTTAAGTACATAGTAAATTCAACCTCCTCTATTTATTAAATCTTTAAATGGATAGGAAGTGTGATACTGTAATGAGCACATGGGACAAAGGAAAGATACGGAAGAATTCATGGCAAACTACTAAGTGCTTATGCTTGGAAAGAGGGATGGAGATTGGTGGGATGGGCTTTCAAGGTTTACTTACACCCTTCTGTCTTAGTTAGCTTATTTATTTTACAATGTGTACATTTTAGTTTTGAAACTTAAAAATAATTATTTAAACTATGGAACTTATTTCTTTTAAATTTTATTGATTTTTTTTACAGAGAGGAAGAGAAGGGGATAGAGAGTTAGAAACATCGATGAGAGAGAATCATCGATCAGCGGCCTCCTGCACACCTCCCACCGGGGATGTGCCTGCAACCAAGGTACATGACATTGACCGGAATCGAACCCGAGACCCTTCAGTCCGCAGGCCAACGCTCTATCCACTGAGCCAAATCAGTTTCAGCTGGTACTCTTTTCTTAAGTGCATGAGACACCTAGCTTGTTACTCATTTTTGTGATCCTGGGAACCTTACTTAACCTTTAAAAACCTACATTTTGTCCACTGTAAAATGAGGATCATGCTCATCTATCCCACATGGCTGATATGTCACAAAGCCTAGCATAAAGTAGGGACTCAGTAAATATTCATTGAATGTAAATTGTGTTTTTTTTACAGGGTTTGTATTTTTTTTTTGCAATCCACAAAAACATCCGAAATAAAACTCAATTAAAACATAGTTCGTTGTTATCTCGATACTCTGAGTAAGCATTCATATATGCAATAAACTCTGAGGTAACATAGCTAGTTTATAAGGTGGCTATTAGTCCTGACTGCTAACTAATCATGGAATTGTATAATATGTTTACTTATTTGTTTTTAAACAAAGAAGTGTTACAAAATTCTTCAAAGCCATTTAGAATGCTTACATCTCAAGAAGAAAGTACAAGTACTGGTTTAAACTAAGTACAAGTGCCCCAGATTGAACTAAGCTCTCAGTTTGTCTGGGTTCTTATCAGAAACAAGTTCTTTGCAATTTCCACTCACCTCATGGCCTGCCTCCACCAGTAGACATCACACCGTGTTTTGTGAAGGCTTCCTGATTTCTCTAGAGGGTCTATAAAAAATAAAATGCCATTGATAACAACAAGCAGCAGGAGAACCAGAGGCTTAATCGCCTACATCACTTCTGTCAGGGTCCCTGTCCATTAATCTAAGCAAATCTTTGCTATTCCCAGCTAAGCTTGCTCTTTTTTCCTCTTATCCTTACATACAATTTTTCTTAAGCGAATCCTCTTTATGCATAATGCTGTTCTTTGTCCTGAAGGAGTACAAGCAGCAGCGTAAGGCCTGATCTTGATACTATTAGTCACTGCTAATTGCCACCCAGTTTCCATCCTCCCCTTTTCTTTAGTATCTCAGTTCAAAACACTCCCCCTTCGCCTTCATAGCTACGTGTGTCCACCAGAATAGATTCTCCCCATGAAGTGTGAGTAGAAATAATGTGAGCGACCTCTGGGAAGTCTCCTTCAAAGAAAGAATACGTATTTCCCCCCCATTTCTCCTCCTTGCTGATCGAACATCAGTGAGATAGGTGGAGTCCTAGCATCTCTGTGGAACACGACCTGATTCACAAGGATGTCAGAAGAGCTAGCTGTGGGAACCTCGTTCCTCACACAAGAACCTGCTTGAACAGCTCTGGGCTGGGCGGCTTTTTTAATTTATTTTTTAATCTAAGAGAGAAATAAATGTCTAGCTTATTTAAGCCACTGTTATAGACAGGTGATCCCAGCCTTATAGGCTAGCACTCCAGGAAGTTGTCTAGAACCAAGAGCCATTTTTTAGTCTTAAAGCTTCCCTCTTGCTTCCCTTTACTACAGTTTCTCGTGTTATGGTGACCCCCAACCATAAAATTATTTTCATTGCTACTTCATAACTGTAATTTTGCTACTGTTATGAATGGTAATGTAAATATCTGTGTTTTCCCATGGTCTTAGGCGACCCCTGTGAAAGGGGTCGCGACCCACAGGTTGAGAACCGCTGCTGTAGAGCCTAAGACCATCAGAAAACACAGATATTTACATTACGATTCATAACAGTAGCAAAATTACAGTTATGAAGTAGAAACGAAAATAATTTTATGGTTGGAGTCACCACAACATGAGGAACTGTATTGAAGGGTTGCAGCATTAGGAAGGTTGAGAACCACTGCTCTCATGTGTCGCTACAGTCCTTGTTCCCACCCTTTCTCCCTTGCATCACTCGTATTTTGGATATTACACTCATTTGGCCTCTTCAAATAGGAATTTTAACTCCCAGAGAGTGGAAAATGGGGCCACTCTGTCAGGGAAGAAAAAGGAAGTTGAGCTAAAATTAAGTCTTTAGCTTTCATTGTAGATGATAGGAAAAACAGTTCATGTCTGCTCAATAAGCATTTGCTAAGCACATACTATGTAAAGGGCCCTGTGTCAGGTGCTGGGACAATTATAAAGATGACCTTGATCCTCCAAGTGGAAATCTGGTAGGAAAGATGAGACACACAAGTGCGATAAACTATGACAGGTGCAATGAGAAAAGCATACGGTGCCTTAAAGCTTCCAGAGAAGAGAGGGTTCCATTGGAATTAGAGAAAGTTTTATGAAGATAGGGTTTGAGCTGGGTTTTGAACAGTGTGCAGAAATGATAAAAAGAGGACCAGCAAGGGAACAGAGGCAGGAAATTACGGGGCATTATTTAAGGATCCCAGGAGCATCAAGGGTAGAGGAGGAGGTAGGGCTGCGCAGGGAGGTTGGGGCCGTGAATATCTTCTTCGGAGGCTGCTCTGCAGTGGAGAGATGGAGTCACTGGCGGTTTTTAAAAAGGGAGTAACTAAGTCACACGTCTTCAGTAAGAAGCTGCCTCTTGTGGCACTTTAGAAGAAAGGCCAGCCGCAAAGAAGCCAGGGAGTGGCCACCTTTAATGCAAGTAAAAGGCAACTATGACCTGAATTAAGGAAGCAACCATCAGGAAGGAAAGGAAGGCACAGATAGAAGCAACATTTCAAAGGCCACTGCATGAGTTGCATGTCTGCTCTGCCCAGGAAGGAGTTGTCATTCTCAGATTCAGAAGTGGAGAATTCATCTGCTGAAGAACTTTTTAAATCCTTCTACGTTGTTTGAACTGGGAAACTAAAAGAAGGCTGAACATGCTGCAACCATGAATTTCTACAATTTTAGCAGAGCCTTAATTTTCCCCCCCTCAAGATGTCAGTCAGGAGTGCACTGAGTAACTGCTAGATGGGGAAAGAAGATTGAAATGTATTTCAGCAAAGAAATGCATCCATCCCTTCTTTTCCTTTGTGCATCCTTTGCCCAGGTGTTATGGTAAATAGCTGGTATCTGGGTACCTTACAAGTAAGGTTCTTCCGCTTTTCTCCAGTTATCCCTTTACCCACCCTCATTCATATTCCTACTCCCTCCACACACCTCCACACTCCCTAGTAACCTAGTGAAAATTTAAGAGACGGAGGAGGCTTTCTGGAGTGCATAAGGATTTTCTAATGTTTATCTCTGTTGCTTACTAAAACCGTGCCAGCATAGCCTGAAGAAAAATAAAAAGAGCTGGCATAGACCCATATAAGGCATTGTATTGTCAAATAGCTCTGAGATAAGTTCCACAAGCACCTCCCCCCAAAAATCCCAGACAGCTACTTTCTCATTTTCTGGGGCTATATTCTAGAGATTTCCTCAAATAAACAAATTTGAACATCTGATCAGCTGCCACGTTCTTTTTATTTTTCTAATTATTTTAGGAAAACTTAAGTGGGTATTAATACTTACTAACCTCTTTTCTCAATAAGGGCAGGAACAGACAACAAAACAGTCATGAACCAACCAATTAAGAGTGTCCTGTGTAACATCTAGCAATTTATGGTTTAGTTCACTTTATTTGGAGCATTGAAAGCAGCTTACAAATAAAATAATGAGGGTGGTCCCCCCCCCCCCATGACTCCCAAGGTGATTCCTGGCACTCTTGAAAGCACATACAATTAATTAAATCATGGGGGACAAGCAGCAGTAATGTGATCGTCAAAACTATGGGTATTGCCGAAACCGGTTTGGCTCAGTGAATAGAGCGTTCGCCTGCAGACTGAAAGGTCCCAGGTTTGATTCCGGTCAAGGGCATGTACCTTGGTTGCAGGCACATCCCCAGTAGGGGGTGTGCAAGAGGCAGCTGGTAGATGTTTCTCTCTCATTGACGTTTCTAACTCTCTCTCCCTCTCCCTTCCTCTCTGTAAAAAATCAATAAAATAAAATAAATTTTTTAAAAAAAACTATGGATATTGGTAATTGTGTTTCGTTCTCATGTAAAGTGTGTATGTGTATGTGTATGTGTGTATGTGTCTGTGTGTGTGTGTGTGAGTGTGTGTGTACTGAGAGATGATCAGTGTGAGAATCAGCATCTTTAGCATTGTCTCTGAGAGAAAACTATCAGGAATTATTAACCTAAACATTTTTACATTTTATGAAAATACAGAAACTAAGAAAAATATTTAGCAACTCATACTCCAGTCCTAAAACTCAAAATGAAAGGTTCTTAACTGGGGCCCCCAGATTACACCATCTGTAAATATGCTGAAATTGCATGGGAAATTTTGTGTGATTTGCAGAGGGGGTGGGTTGATATCCAAAGATTCTTAAAATTATACTTGACTCCCAAAAAGGTTAAAAACTACAGGCATTAAAGAAAAAAGGGAGAAACAAATGTATATGAAATTTGTACAAGGCACTTATCTGTTAACCTTTATATTTGTATTAAAACTTAACAGTATTTTTATCATCTTCCTTTCAAAAGCCTCTGAGGTTTCAGACTGGTTCAAATTGCATTTTCAGAACCAAGGGTATTAACAAAGATATAAATGTTAATTAAATTCATGGAAACTTTAGAGTAAAAATGACAAAAAGTTATTTCTCTAGTATAAATTTCTGTTCATTTATGGTAAACCCTACAGAAGTGCCTTCAATGAAATGGTTATGCCATTTGCAGCAATAAAATAATGTATTAAAAGGAGCTATTAACAAGGACAAAAGGGTGATAAAAATTAATTTCTATATTTTCAGAATACTATTGCTTTAGCATATAAAACCCATATAATTCCAATACTAACTATTGTGGAATTCTGTTCTCACTTTAGAAACCTTTCAAATGAAACCCAATTCTTCTCATCATGCTCTCAAAACCCTGCAAAGGTTTAGAATTAAGATTCACTAATGTCTCTGTAGAATCAGTACACATTTCCCTGTACATAAAGGAGTAACTCCTTTGTCCCTTTCTGTGTTACAAAAGGCACAAACCAACCTCCCTTCATTACCAATCTTTTCATTTTTTATTCTTAATCCTAAAGAAATGTTGGGTTAATTTGCAGTGTAAATCAAGAACCCTGTCATTCTTTTTTTAAATCCTGATTTTTATTAGATTCAATAAGCATAGAATTACATTTCAAAAATATAATCAGAACATACAAAATATAAAAATTTAAAAATTATAAAAACTATTTTCAATGAAAGAAAGAACCTTGTCATTCTTTAAGATTGCTCTCAAAATTTAACTCTGCTTCATTAAATATGTAAATATGTAAAACTCTTCAGTCCCCAAACATATCATTCATTGATAACCTACAAAGGCAGATTATGACAATTTTACAACTAAGCAAGAAAATGAATGTTTTATAAATGGTTATAACTTTTGAGTAAAAAGTTACTTTAAAATTTTATTCTTAAATTAATCTTAGCATATTTTGATTTGAAATTACTAAGGATTGATGGAATTTATTGTCTTATGTTATTTCCCATCTCAAAACACATAAAAGCACACTTACCCCATGATGCTTGCTGTGGTTATATCATCCTGGGATCAAGGCTTCTCTGGATTCTGAATTAACTTTAAGGTTACAAAAAGCAGCAGTAGAGAGGCTTGACTTCCCCAGAAAGGAGACTGTCATATGCTAACGAGGCTTTTAACTGAGCTAAAACTAGTGTCTCTTCTAATTACATAAGCTCTAGGTCAAATTCTAGCATCCACTAATCAAATAACTGAACTGTGTTTAGTTTCAAGGAGTTAAAGAAGGAAAACTGTTTAAGAGGGATGTCTTTGGTATCTTAAAAAGTTGGAAAGTTGAGCATTAAAAAGTTACTTATATATCAATAAAGTTAAAGATTTTAAAAGAAAAATAAGTATCTTGCTATTTTAAATAATTCAAAAAACTATTGGGGAAATTTTAGTTTGCAGGAAAGAATTTTTTTTTATATTTCCCAGAAATTTGAATTTGCATTATATGTACTCCTCCCAAAGACATCCTCTTGCCTTATCTTAACCTATCCAGTATTTATCTCATTAAAAATTCTAGTACAATAATATTTAATTCTAAAAGAATACCAGTTAATGCTAAGCAACAAATCCAAAAACGTCTAATTTTTAAACTATATCTTTGAATACTACTAAATATGGTCTTTTGAAATTAAATGTAAAGCTATTATTATAAAAACTAACAAAATTACCATTTTTATTTCAATATTGTAAAATTCATTTAATTTTTTAAAATTTGAGAGAGAATCAATTTGATGTTCTACTTATTTATGCATTCACTGGTTGATTCTTTTTTTTTCTTTTTTTTTAATTGATTTTGTACAGAGAGGAAGGGAGAGAGAGAGAGAGTTAGAAACATCAATTAGAGAGAGTCATCGATCAGCTGCTTCTTGCACACCCCCCACTGGGGATGTGCCTGCAACTAAGGCACATGCCCTTGACCGGAATCAAACCCGGTCAGTCCCCAAGCTGACGCTCTATCCATTGAGCCAAACTGGTTTCGGCTCACTGGTTGATTCTTATATGTGCCCTGACCAGGGATGGAACCTGCAACTTTGGTGTATTGGGCTTATGCTCTAATACCCATTCAACACAGATTTATAGTACAAAAAAAAATTTTAAAAATTTTTTGGCAATAATATATTGAGAAATAGACATTTTAATAAGATTTTGAATGAAGAAATGTGACCCAGAAGTTATCTATTGCATGCACTATTTTTTGTCAGTTCCAGAATAATAGTTTCAGCAAAAACCCTCATGTCTTTATTGTAATTTTTTAAATGTGTATCTGTCATGGTATGTTCTGGTAACTGAAAAATATTTTATGTAGAAGGTAAAGAAGCATTCTAGCCATAGAATGTGTGAGGACACAAAGATCTTTTAGAAAATTGAGCTATAATTCACATACCATATGCAGAATTTTCCCTTTTAATGTGAATTCAATGGTTTAGTATTCACAAGGTTGCACAACTATGACCACTAATTCTAGAGCATTTATATCACCTAAAAAAGAAACCCCATTCCTCCCAACTCCGTCCTCCCCTGGCAGCCACCATTCTAGACATTTCACCTAACAGCCATACAGTATGTGGCCTTTTGTGACTGGATTCTTTCACATAGTACAATATTTTCAAGGTTCATTCATGTTGTAGCTTGTATCAGTACTTCATCCCTTTTTATGGCTGAAGAATATTCCATTTTATGGATATACCATCTTTGTTTATCCATTTTTCCATTGGCGGACATTTGGGTTATTTCCAGTATTGGCTGTTATGAATAAAGCTGCTATGGGTATTCTTGTACAGTCATTTCTATTGGGTACATACTTAGGAACTGCTGGTTCATATGGTAACTACATGTCTAACTTCTTGAGAAACTGTTTTCCCACAGCAGCTGCACCATTTTACATTCCCACTAGCAATGTTTGAGGTTTCCAATTTCTCCACATCCTTGCTTTTATTATCATGTCTTTTTAAATATAGCCAACCTAGTGATTATGAAGTTGTATCTTATTGTGGGTTTAATTTATATTTCTCTAAAAAGTAATGATCTTGAGCATCTTTTCACTTGCTTATTAGACTTATTTTCTTTCTTTTTTTTTTTTAATATATTTTATTGATTTTGTACAGAGAGGAAGGGAGAGAGATAGAGAGCTAGAAACATCGATGAGAGAGAGTCATTGATCAGTTGCTTCTTGCACCCCCCCCACTGGGGATATGCCCGCAACCAAGTTACATGCCCTTGACCAGAATCGAACCCGGGTCCCCTCAGTCCCCAAGCCGACGCTCTATCCACTGAGCCAAACCGGTCCCGGCATAGACTTATTTTCTTTCTTTAAAGAAATGTCTATTCAAATTCCTTGCTCAATTTTTAATTGGGTTGTCTTTTTATTTATATACTAGAGGCCCAGTACAGGAAATTCATGCACTCAGAGGCATCCCTCAGCCCGGCCTGTGCCCTCTCCCAGTCGGGGAGCCCTTGGAGAATGTCCGATTGCCGGCTTAGGCTCGCTCCATGTGTGGAGCAGGCCTACGCCGGCAGTTGGACAATCTTAGTGCTGCTATGGAGGCAGGAGAGGTTCCCGCCACTGTTGCTGTGCTCACCAGCCATGATCCTGGCTCAGGGCTTCTGACTAAGCAGCGCTCCCCCTGTGGGAGCTCACTGACCACCAGGGGGCAGCTCATTTATTGAGTGTCTGCCCCCTGGTGGTCACTGTGTGTCATATTGACCAGTCATTCCACCTTTTGGTCAATTTGCATGTTAGCTTTTTATTATATAGGACTAGAGGCCCAGTGCATGAAATTCGTGCACTGGTAGGGTCCTTAGCAGCTGCTGGCTTCCAGCCAGGTACTCCCTTCCTTCCCCTGGCTGCCTGTCATTACTGCTGACCAGGGCCTCTCTCCCTTCCCCGGCTGGCCCCCACTGGTCAGGTTCCTGAAAGAGCTCCAGTTGAGGGGACAATTTGCCTACTATGCTTTTAAAATATAGGATATTTATATAAGATCTTTAACATTCTGGAAACCAAACCTTTACCAGATATGTGATTTCCAAATATTTTCTACCATCCTGTGAATTGTCTTTTCATTTCCTAGATGATATCCTTTAACACAGACATACTTTTTAAAGATGACAAAATTCAGGCACAGAATGGGACACTGACTTGGCCAAGATTTAGATATAATAGTTTTGCTGTGTTTATTAAAATGAGAAAACTCTGAACTGAATCATATAATTTGAAATAATTATAAGATGATGAAAGTAAAGTTAATAAAAAAGGCATACGTGAATGATGACTTTATTGGCAATATTATAATATAGAGATAGTGTATGAAGTTATTTCATTCCACATATTTGGTTTCCTTACAACTAAATCTTCAATTACCACATTAAACTTCAATGCAGAAAATCTACATATGGAGCTTTAGTCTCAGGCCTGGAGCAGCTGTGAAATGAAAGGTACCACACCATTCTAGTCCTTGGATATCAGTATATTGTCCTTCACCTTCTACCCTGAAATAGTAAAAAATAAGTTTGTTCATTAATCAAGACTAATAATTTACAGTCCAGATTTAAGACTATCTAGATTGTGACATATTATATACTATGTCTGAAGAATTATAGCTTTCCATTTTGAGACTTTGATTTAAAACCCAGCATCCTATTTTCATATCCTACAAAAAAAAACAAAACAAAAAAAAAAAAGCACAACCCCCCCCCAAACTATTAATATTACTATTTCAAATGAATTCGGTCATTACACACATTTTGGTGTACAGGATTTTAGGATATGCTAAGTTTACATAAAAACCCAATCAGTTAAAGAATGAAAAGTTTATATTACTGTATGTCATTTATTTATTCAACAAACATTTACTGTCAACTATGTTTGGAGTGCTGTGTTCCATGCTAGTGTTTCCTTGGACTCTTTGGAGTGATAAATATGCACTTCACTTACACTACAGATCTTTATTCCATGGTTAGATTTTTCTCCCTTTATTTATTTCTTAAATACGTTTTTATTAATTTTAGAGAGAAGAAGGGAAAGGAATATGTCAACATTGATGAGAAAGAAACATTGATCGACTGCTCAAGCCCACAAACAGGGCATGTGCGATGACTGGGAATCGAACCTCCTGGTTCATAGGTCAATGCTCAACCACTAAGCCACACCAGCTGGGCTGAATATTGTCCTTTTGAAGGCTCATGATGGTCTTAGCGTCTCATAAGATTTTTTTCTTCTAAAAAAATAGCCCAACATTTCTTTCCTTTTTTTTTTCTTTAATATATATTTTATTGATTTTTCACAGAGAGGAAGACAGAGGGATAGAGAGTCAGAAACATTGATGAGAGAGAATCATCAATCAGTTGCCTCTTGCACACCCTCTACTGGGGATGTGCCCACAACCAAGGTACATGCCCTTGACCGGAATCGAACCCGGGACCCTTCAGTCTGCAGGCCGACGCTCTATCCACTGAGCCAAACCGGTTTCGGCTAGCACAACATTTCTTACTCAATATGTTATAAATACATTTTAACAAAATATATTACAAAAGAATATTTAACATTAACTAAATATAATATTTAAGCAACCATGCCTGGAAAGAATCTTTTAGAACTATAGTGACTTTTTATTTTAAGCTTACCTATTTTCATTGAAATTTCCAGTGTACTTTGCCCCAGATGGGAATGTGTAAGTCCCCAGTCCATGAAACATATTGTCCTTAAAGTGTCCTTCATATACTGCTCCAGAAAAATGCTCCAGTCTTCCAAAACCATTCATCTGTTTGTAACAAAATTACAGTTTTGAAATAGCAACAAAAATAACTTTACGGTTGGGGGTCACCACAACATGAAGAACTGTATTAAAGGGTCGAGGCATTAGAAAGGTTGAGAACCACTGATTCAATCTATCATTATATTACCCTTTATTTCTGTGAAGCCCCCCCCCCCCCACCTCACCACCAAGTCAAATGTTCCTGATCTGGCGCATTTGAACGTCATGGTTGGAACACCATGATGATGTTACTAGGGCTCCTTGAGATACTTGAGTTATCAAAAATCTTAATGGGCAACTGTTTTAGTTACCTAGGAAACAGTACAAAAGTTGTGAAGAACAAAAATTATATTCAAGAAGACCTGGGTACACATTCTTGTTTCATCACTTATTAGGTGTAAGAAACCTGACCTTGATTTACCTCATTTGTAAAACAGAAGTGCTAATGATTGCTTTGAGGATTAAATGAGAAAATTTTGTAATGAGTTTAGTTTACTCAATGAATAGGAGATGAGAAAGATGATGATAACTAGCTCTCTGCATAAGTTTAATATTACTCATATATTCATATATATTCAATACTAAGACCTGGTACATGGATTTGTGTACAGGTGGGGTCCCTCGGCCCATCCTGCGGGAATCAGGCTGAAACCAGCCCAGTGCATAGATTTGTGCACCAGTGGGGTCCTTCAGCCTGGCCTACAAGATCGGCCTGAAACTGGCAGTCCAACATCCCCTGAATGGTCCCGGATTGTGAGAGGGCGCCGGCCAGGCCGAGCGACCCCACCGATGCACAAATCCGTGCACCGGGCCTCCAGTATGCATATCAGATCTTTGGTTAATCTCTTCCCGCCCTCCTCCCTGCTCCCTGCTCCCTTCCCTCTGAGATTCATCAGTCTGTTCCATGTCTCTATGCCAGTGCATTGAGCATCGGCCCCTACGTGGTCAGTGTGCATCATAGCTACTGGTCAA